ATTATTTCCAAGTAGCGGAATGCTACAGAGGTAAACAAACAATATCATTTGGAAGAGGATTAATAAGTGTTGACATTCATACAAATGAGTAATCCTGTAAACGTAAACAGAATATTTTATATAGATTTTTTTTAATGAAAACTTAAAATCCTGCATTATTTTCCGGACAACCCAATAGTATAATCCGAACACCAAAGCTAAGTTAATTTAGGCACGGAGTTAAGTTATGTAGGAATTGTTATAAGTGTAAAATTTTCAAAATATTTTTGATATACCCTAAAGGAAAAGGAAATATAAGGGACATGACTACCACCTTATGTGTTTCCGTATGTTTGGTCTATGTGCTAGTTCATAGCTGGCCCTAAAAATGTGCACGATTAGTGACAGGGGTTCAAATCCCTTGTTGAAACATGGGGATATCATAGAAGAGGGAGGAGGTGTTTGAGTAAAATCAACAACCATAACCAAGTTGGACAGGGTGCATGACCCAGCGCGAGGCCATTGCTCACTGAAGATGGTGAAAGCCAGCTCAACATGCTTCAGTTTCAAGAAAACTAGATCCTTTCTGTCACTGCAAAACTGATGCGCGTTAAGATTCGTCTATCACTATTCCATAGGGACAATCACAATTTAAGTAGAAAAAGTGTGAACTCACGTTTTAACATTTGTTTAAATCCATTATGTTCAGTGGTCTAATTGACCAAATTACTTCTTTCAATTAATTATTCTTTTCATGTAATCTTGGTTGAGATGAATGGCCGTGGCTACTTCATAAGTCGCTGAGATTCAAATCCTGATTAAACGACTTTTGAAAAATGGCAAAAAAAAAGGGAAAATTCGAAAGGTAGGTTGAGATGGGAGTTAGTATCCGAGTGGATCGAAGTTACGATAGCTCAAATGGTTAGAAAAGCGGCGTATTTAGCTGCAGGTCGTGAGTTCGAATCCCTCTCGTAACGGTAACTTTTTCATCTCAACCAAGACCTCGCATAAAAAGAATAATCGATTGAAATTTGTTTAAATAGTATCATTTTAAAGCTGAACTTGTTCTTGTAATGTGTGCACTGAAAAATTTCGCCATTTGCCTAAATACGCCACTTTTGAAAACAGTGTAAGTTCCAACTGGTGCGAATTGTATTTATTTGAGGTCCCATCTTTTTCATCGAACTTTCGAATTTCCTTCTCCGATCATTTTGATCTACCTTATGGCATGGACTCGTATAAACGCGAACATGTGAGTTGTATCGAGACGACGATGGGAAAATATTAGGTGGGTGGTGGGCGGTAACTCCATTATGGATTCATTGCCTTATAAGTCCCTCGGCCCACCCCCGATTAAAGGGAAAACAGCTGCATTGAAACGCACACATCAGCGGTTAATGCGATTCCAGTGAGTACGGTGTGTTAACCACAGGCGTCCTGCTGCTCAAAGTGAAATGGACACACGGTGCCGCACGGACCGCGCGTCTTTCAAAAATCCCCTGAGCACGCTCATTCTGAAAATTAAAAAAAAAAAAAATCACATTTGTCTCCTGCTATTGGCCAAAAAGAACCCCAAGCGTTGGAATCAAATATCAAACTCACTTTGTCACATTATACATAATTCTTACTCTGTTTCTGAAAGAGCGTTTCTTCTTTCTAATTGTCTCTATTAAATATATCTGGAATATAAAAAAAATTACTCTTATTAATAAAATTAGACGAACAAAGGAACAAGATACTGCTGAACAGTGTAATTACACGCTTGCTCAAATCTCCCCCTTGAGAAAGAAAAAGAAATTTGAATCACTCTCAAAACAGATTTCTTTGCATATTTTCACGAGGCCAAAAGGAGTTTTAGAATTAAAAAAATAATACCAGTTCACTACTGTTTCGTCTATTTTCGATCTGTGACAGATTTGAATCTGTATTGAAATGATGAAGGTGGGGTGAGTATGACTATTCATTCACCTTTTTTAAAGACAAGGACGCTCCAGGATTGGTGTGAACAAATTGGCAAATGACAATTAAATAAGGTTTTTAGTTGAGATGAAGAAAAGTTAATGGCACGAGAGGGATTCGAACCCACGACCTTCGGCTAGATACGCCGCTGCTCTGCCACCTGAGCTATCGTGAGGTGGTAGAGCAGCGGCCTATCTAGCCGAAGGTCGTGGGTTCGAATCCCTCTTGCGCCATTAACTTTTTTTCATCTCAACTAAAAACCTTAATTAATTGTCACGTATTAATTGGTCAAGCGGGCCACGAAAGTAGTGAATTAAATTGGCAAATGTTCACCAACCAGCAGATTAAACATGAAAACTTGACAAAGGCCTGTGAAAGTGGCAAGTGTTTATATTTCGTTCTTGTCGTTTGGTCTTCTTGTATAAATAACCCAACGTTTCCTGAATTAAACATTCGAGAATTGCGATATAAACTAGGTCATAGTGGTGACGTCACAATGACAACTACACCACTCGGTGACCACTCTGGTGTCTTACCATACTACCCTTTAAAAAAGTTTAATTCAATACATGTAATACATCAATGAATCTCTCCAGAAAAGTATTATCAAATAGAAAGTTGTAAGTGTTGGCACTTTTTCTTGTCGTTTGGTCTCCTTAATTAAATAACTTAATATACGCTGTATTAAACCTTTTAGAATTACAATATTAATACGTCATTGTGGTGACGTCAGAATGACAACGGCGCCATTGGGCTAAAGTTTTTAATACATCAGATGTTGAGTTAGTCATATAAGAAAACCGAAGGATAATAACAAATATTCTCAGTTATCGGGTTTGTGGTCGAGATAAACAGCAAGGTTTTGTTTTATTGCCAAGCTTTCGACTATATATTTAGTCTTTCTCAGGGTGCTACAATGACAAAAACGATTATCAATATAGTAATTCAAGAAGAAATACACATTTTTTAGGACTTACAAACTCCTAATTATAAATAATAGCGAACATACAATATCACGTTATAAGTAACAAAATAAAAACATGCCTTTCTTTATCACAACATGATATCACTCAAAGAAGATAAGAGACCAGTTAGATGCCGTTCTTACATAATGTCCAACGTACTAATGCAAAGAAAGGAAAAAAATGGACAGACTAAACAATTTTTGGCCGAACGCATTAACGCCCATACATATGATTACAGAAACCATAGTAGAGCGGGAACGGGACTGTCGAAACATTCAATTGGACACAAACATAACTTTAAGTTAAATATTGATGACATAAAAATTGTGGACTGTGAAAAAAATTCTAGGGCGTAGATTATTAAAAGAATCTATGTATGTACAAAAAGATCCCAATACTTGCAATTTGAAAACCGATTACAATAATATTAGTACAATTTATTCAAATTTATTAACAAAAAATAATATTTAAAAAAAAGAATAGATTGTAATCTAGACAATGCATGTACATAGTATTTATCGATTTGTGTTTATATTTATTTATTTTGTATTTATTTATTTATTTATAATGTATGTATTTATTTATTTATAAATTCTGANTTTCAAGTGGAGGTAGGTTTAGCAAGGTTTCTAATGCGTTTGTAGGGGTTGTTCTCATCGCCCCTGTGATACATAGGTTTGCTAATCTTTGTAAGCTGCCTAATGTTTGGGTAGCTATTTTTTGTTGAGCTTTGTTCCACCAGATTAGTGATCCGTAGGTTATTCTGGGTCTTATTACTGCAAGAACGGCATCTAACTGGTCTGTTATCTTCTTCGAGTGATATCGTATTGTGATAAAGAAAGGCATGTTTTTATTTTGTTACTTGTAATGTGATATTGTATGTTTGCAATTATTTATAAATTTATGACATTGTTTTTGTAAGTCCTAAACAAAAAAAATGTTTGTTACTTCTTGAATTACTAGATAATCGTTTTTTGACATTATAGCGCCTTGAGAAAGACTAAATATATAGTCGAAAGCTTGGCAATAAAACAAAACCTTGCTGTTTATCTTGACTACAAACCCGATAACTGAGAGTATTGAATTAGCTGGTTGATAAACTACATCGGTGAATAACAAATATTAACAATTATGATTTTCTATTTGATAATAATTTTTCAAAGAATTATTAAATATGTGTTAAACTAACCTCTTAAAAGGAGGAGTGGAGTGGCAACACTGCGGCAGAACCAGAGTGATAACCCAGTGTTGCAATTGTCATTGTGACGTCACCACAATGACGTAGAAATATTGTGAAGTGTGTCGAAAATTGTGAAAACCTAGTTAATCACATGGAAAAATGACAAAATTCAGGAACGGTCCAGGCTAATTTTGCGAAAACCGGTATTATTATTATTTATTTATTTTTTTTTTTTGGGGGGGGGGAGTTTTTCACTGCAAACAGAAAGTTCCTGGCGTTTCGACAATGTACGAGAAAAGTAGGTCTTTTGTACCGTGTACTTTTAGTTTTTGTGTGCTGAATATGATTAATCACTGCAGAGGAAAAGTGACAGCTGAACGCATCCATCATTCGATTAAAACAATTCAGGACAGAGACAACAGTCACAATCGGCCAAATCAATTTGTACTTTCAATCACAGATTTCGGTAACTTTCGCGATTGAAATGGCCAGAAATGATAAAATTTCGACTGTTTTTAGATTGATGGGATGATGAAAGATTTGTAAAAAACAAAAACAAAAAAATTCAAATTTTCCCGATAGGTGATAATTCTTTTGGCTAACGCTCTGAAAAATTCCGTTATAACGTTTGAAATTTGTCTTATTACCCGTGGAAGAATGGCAAATATGAAGAGGTCTGTGATATAAGGCGGCCGTAAATCATCTCGTAGCTGAGTCGGAAGAAAAATCCACCGGGCTCGTTAATACCGTTCGCCGAGTGGCGGTGGCAATTGATAAGATATCAAGTAAAGAGCGAGGAGCGAGAATACGACGAGAAAGAGGGAGGAGAGAGAGAGAGTGAGAGAGAGTGGAATATTAAAAAAAGCGAGGGTGAGAGCGCATGTCGGTCCACACTCTTTGCCGTTCAGTGGCTCGCTGACCCGTCGTCTGTACGCACGGCCTTTCGATTCCATCCCACTCAGAAAAAAAACACGTAAACCTAAAATGAAGAATAAACGTTGATTTTTTTAAATTATTATTTTTTTAACAAAAAAGAAATTCAATCCTAGTCGGCAAATTTGACGCAAAAATTACCCGGTTTTATTAATTTCTTAAGTGTACCATTAAGACACTGATTTAATTTTTTGTAAAAAAATTTATACAGTTTTCTAGTTTTATTAAAAAAAAATAGTTGAGATACAGATTGAAAAATGGGATCGAATCAGACGACGATGGACACCCTGAGGCCTGTGTTCATCGAGAACATGACACTGGAAGAATACCTCCTGTACGCTCGGGGTCCAAAACAAATGCCGTTGAAAACCGCGATACCTATCACAATAATATACGTCGTCATATTTATCACGGGTGTCATTGGAAATTTCGCGGTGTGTGTTGTTATCGTGAAAAACAAATCTCTTCATACAGCGACAAACTACTATTTGTTCAATCTGGCGATATCCGACATCGCCTTCTTGCTATTGGGTAAGTCAAATATTTGATCAATTCTTAAGGAAAATTAACACGAAACATCAAGTTTAGTCGAATAATCCTTTTTTTAATTTTTTATTTATTTATTATTTTTTTATTGACTCCTATACGAGATGTTTTGTAATTTTCAAAAAAAAAATCATCTGTACTTATATATTATGAAAATAAACAAACTTTTTAATCATCAAAAAGTGAAACAAACAGAAATCTATATTTTGATATTTGAAAAATAAATAAATAAAATAGAAGCTGAGCATTGTAAGACTGTTTTGTTTTGCACAATGCAAAAGCTAAAGACACCAAATATATCGGATAAAAAGTAACCATGCTTCAAATTTATACCAAATTCAATAACAATAAGTAAATAAATAAACGTTCTAATGTAGGAAAGAACAGGGCGTCTGTCTCGTATCTGTCACGCCAGCAGTCCTGGGTTCGAATCCCGGCACATCCTTTGGAATTTTTTTTAAGATATATATAAACACTGTAAGATATTTCTGGCCTTAATAGCCCTACTTTAGTATTAATTCAAATATTCTTTGAACAGGAAGACCACACGGTTTATGATCCCCTTATTTTTACATTTATCTATGTTACAACAGGTCTATAACAAGTTAAGTTATCCGTAATTAAACATAATTACACTTCTCACAGCGAGGCGCTTTGAGGATTGTCGAGGGCTCGGGATGAAAGTTGTTGGTCTAGGGGTCCAAGGTTTTATGAAGGCGTCTGTATCCACTTCTTGTGTTTTCGAGGGCAAATTTGGAAGTCTGTGTGTTTTTTCCGTTCCTAATTATTTTTCTTCAAAAATTGTGTTAACTTTCAAACAACTACGCCGGTCCAAAGGAAGCGTGATGGGCATTTAGGACCCAATCATTTATTCGAAATGGCATAAACATCACCTTAAATTAAAAAAATTCTATTTCATTCCTTCTTTTACCTTAACTTAACCTAATCTGTCCTTAACCGTCAGACAATGGAGAATTTTTTCATCAAATAGGTTCACATTCAACATGCCTCCAATTTTTTTAGAAAATCTCAAAAATGGTCAGAATTTTGAAACGACTCCACCGATCTAAAGGATTATGGAAACATGACAGATCTTAGAACTCCATAAAATACACGAAATGGCATAATCATTACCACCGTAAATAAATTAGAACCGGAGTTTTACAATACATATAACATTTGAGGAGTTTTTTTTTAGTTCATCCTTTTTCATTCCTTAGTTTTCTCACATACAACGATATAAGATTTAAACATCATTGAAGGCTGAAAGTAAAGTAATTCAAATTTCCAACTATCTTGAATTTGGATAAAATCCAGAAGTGTTATGAATTTTTAAGTGGAACACCGGACATCAGAGAGAAAATAACATCTTATCATGTATACTGATATAAAATAAAACGTTTGAGGGTTGTTTGTTGGTTTAATCCTCTTTCCTTCATTCTTTTTCTCATGTATAATGATGTAAATCTAAACTTTATTGACATAAGCTGAAAATAAAAAATTCCAATTTCTAACGGTGCAATTATATTTAATTTGGATAAAATCCGGAGGTGTTATGAATTTTTAAGTGAACAACTGGATAGAGGAGAGCAAATAATAACCTAACCCCAACCCTAACCCTAACGCTAACCTTTAGTTTTATCAGACCTAACCTGTTCCTAACTTTGTGTGGAACACCAGATACCGGAGATAATGCTTCCTTCCAAATACCTCCCAATTTTTTTCGAAACTCACATAAATTGTCATAATTTTGAAACGACTCTACCGTTATAAAGGAAACTTTACAGGGGCGTGGAACCCTATAAAATACACGAAATGCATAAACCCGGCCACCTTAAATAAATTACAACACGAGATATAAAATAAAACGCTTGAGGAGTTTTGTTAATTTCATCATTATTTTTCTCCCTTACAATAACATAACGTCTACATTTTTTTGACATAGGTTGAAAGACGAAAAATCAAACTTTCGTACTGTTGTCATAAAATGGATAAAATCATAATTTAGATAAAATCCAGAGGTGTTATGAATTTTTAAGTGAACAACCGGATAGAGGTTTTAATAACCTAACCCCCACCTAAACCGAACCCCAACCCTAACCCTATCCCTAACGCTAACCTTTATTTTTAGTTAACCTAACCTGATCCTAACTTTGTGTGGAACACCAGATACCGGAGAAAATGCTTCCTGCCAAATCACCTCCCAATTTTTTTTTCTTCGAAACACATAAATAGTCTTAATTTTGAAACGACTCTACCGATATAAAGGAAACTTTACAGGGGTGTGGTACCCTATAAAATACACGGAACGGCATAAACCCGGCCACCTTAAATAAATTACAACACGAGATATAAAATAAAACGCTTGAGGAGTTTTGTTAATTCCATCATTATTTTTCTCCCTTACAATGACATAACGTCTACATTTTTTTGACATGGGCTGAAAGACGAAAAATCAAACTTTCGTACTGTTGTCATAACCTGGATAAAATCATAATCTGAATAAAATCTCAGAGGTGTTATGAATTTTTAAGTCTAACACCGGATATCGTATAGAAAACAAATTCCACCGACTAATCCAGCTCAAACGATTTTAACGATTATATATATATTAAAATACACGTATGCATTAAACCTGGCCATTCTAAATAAATAAGAACCGCATATAAAAAATGAAACATTTCATGACTTTCTTGTTGGATTCATCCTTATTTTTCTTGCGCGAAATGTCATAAAAACTAAACCTTATCGACATAGAATTCAAAGTTCTTATCTAACCTCTTTACAGGGTACTTAAAACGAACCCGGATTGGGTTTTCAAAAAAACAAAAACATTTCGGCCTACTGAAAACGTTTTTTGGTTTTATTAACTTTTTATGTGTGTAGACTCATTTAATACAATCATGCTTATTATTTTCTTATCCTAGGTAAAAAAACAAGTTGACTGGTATATACAACTTTGAAATACATGCGTAACAAAGGCAGTAAGAACCCCAGGGCCATTGGCAAGAACGCTCGGACAGTGTTCATCTTTCGACCTAGTAATCAACGTTAAAAGTTTCAATAAAATCTCTCATAACGCATCAATAGCCTTAGGTCAGTTTTAATACCCGTGACGTAATTTGTAATTTTTGGGCAAGGGGGTCAATGTTCTTCGGTAAAATAAAAAAAAAAGGCGATTTATCAATTAGTTCTAAGATATAGCTAGGAAATTAACGTCAATCGGTGTGGTTTGAATAAAATGCGAGTTGACCGTTCTAAAGTTTCAAAAAGCTTATTAGCCCAAATGGCTTGACCAATTTGAACCCGGCGAAGCACTCAATAGCGTCTGTCCCCCTTCTGTCATAGTCGGCTTCAATCTCCTTAAAGGATGAAGGAAGTCCCCGCAATTATTGGTAAATGAAGAAAAGAGCATGTTGAAATTATCTTTTAACTTAATTTACCTGTTCAATTAGTAACCCTAACCGCACCTAAAGTATGATAAATAAACTTACCGTGTAAAATCTGAATTTAGATGATGATGAGTTTGGTATTCTCCAAGCGCCTTGTGCTTTATTGCCTTATTTGTTTTTCCTAGATAATTGGATTCAGCTCAACTAATCTTTCTGCCCTGGCACCCAAGGGTTCAAATAATAAATTAACAATTAATAAGTTATTGGGTTAATAAACCCAACCTAGAAGGAACCCTTAGAAACCTTATCAACGAAACTTGGACCAATTTTAACAGAATTAATGTCGTTCTGGGAATGCAGATCCTCTTCTGGCCGGTTGATCTGCTTGTCCATGATCCAAAATTCCTTTGTGCGATGACATCTTAACACGGAGATATTTTGGGACTGAATACAGTCATTTTTTGCGTAACCATTTTTTGCGTCATCGATTTTTTTCCCAGGAGTGCGAAGGAGTTGGGTTAGGTTTTGGATAATTCGAGTTAGGGACGGGTTAAGTCGAGTTATGGTTAGAGTGAGGGACGGAGGTCAGGTTAGGTAGGGTAAGTTATTACTTGAAGCAAGTTAGGTTTTCCTTGCATTTTCTCCCAAAAGCAGAATTAGATTTAAAAAAAAAACTGTTATCTCTAAGATCATCGTCAGATTGTTGTAAAATAAATACAGAGATAAAATAAAAATGGGCTCAAGTAACTGAACGAAATTTGGTAAACATAAACGTCAAAAAACTGAATATCCCACATACAATTAGGTATAATGATAACAGTTAAAAAGCAACAACAATCTTTATGTAAGGTATTGGTTGAGATAAAAATTAGTGCCACGAGGGGGATTCGAACCCGCGACCTTCGGCTAAATACGCCGCTGCTCTACCACCTGAGCTATCGTGACTTCGATCTAATCGGACATCAATTCCCCATCTCAATCTACAACCTTTCGAATTTTCCCTCCTTTTTTCCATTTTTCAAATATCGTGTAATCAGGATTCGTTTCTCGGCGACAAATGAAATGGCCACGGAAAGCTTTAGTGAAGATATACTTCGTTTTACTTATTAAATCCATTATATTTCGTGGTCCGATTGACCAAATAATTTCTTTAAATTAATTAATCTTTATTCTTTATGTAAGGTGGGAAAATTCGACAGGTAGGTTGAAGTGGGAAGTTGGTGTCCGAGTGGATCGAAATCACGATAGCTCAAGTGGTAGAGCAGCGGCGTTTTTAGCCAAGGTCGTGGGTTCGTATCCTGCTTGTGACACTAGCTTTTTCATTTCAACCAATACCTTATATAAAGATTAATTAATTGAAAAAAATTGTTTGGTCAGTCGGACCACGAAATCTAATGGTATTATTTTTATTTTAATGTGTGCTAATTAATAAATAAATGAAATCATACAAATTAATCGCTAATTTAGAATCATTTTCTTACAGTATTTATTAATATAACATATAGTTGTGTTATAATTTCCGCTTTTCGCACGTTCAAAATTGTGCGGCATTAAAAACCAGCTTCTGGTTGGAACGTCGCGGGAGGTTACAGA